AATATGGGTGTGTTTGCATACACATACTTATTTAATTCTGCTTGATCCACAAATATAAGTTTAAGTGGTTTTAATATTGAGTGATATTGAGAAAACAGACTGACAGTTTTACTAGGAAATGGTACCCGTATTTTCTGGCGTATAAGACGACTTTCTAAACCCTGAAAATCTTCTCAAAAGTTGGGGGTCGTCTTATACGGCCAGTCGTCTTATACGCCGGAAAATAGGGTATACAGTATTTGCAGCGTTGACACCTGCACTTTTAGCCACAATAATGATAAAATAATACAAATTCAATATAATTTAATAATGTAAATTCTCCACCATTCGCTTCTGTCCAGAGATGTTAGATGCAAGTTGGGATATGACAAAATCTGAAGTACACTGATTAAATCATTTATTTATTGTTTATGTATTTCTCACCTTTAATATTTTTATATATTATTTATAGGTTATTTTGCATTAATTAAGTACAGTTTCTGATTTTCTTTTTGTATGCTGTGTAAAGTCAAATAGTTTAATACAGGAGATAATACAAGACTGTAATAAACAAACAGAAAAATTATGCTGTGGAATACAGCTTTGAAAGTCTTAAATTTATAGTCTTTGCCTGCCGTTCCATTTTTATCTAACAGCCTAACTGAAAAAGATACAGTTGATCAAGTTCATTGATAAAGTTAATGGAATTAACAACAACAAAAACTCATATTGTGCTACTTGATTAATACAAGGAAAAATATTGGAACACTCACTTCTGCTGGTCTTTCATTGTTTCAATGATAGTGCGTAGCTCTTTAACTTGTAACCTTAGTTCTTCCAAAGCTGCTTCACCTTCGCTTGAGTGATCAGTCTTTAGCTTTCCCTCAGTACTGAACAAAGAAGGGGAATTTGACCTGTGACCTATGGTTCCTACTGAAGCCGGATGAAGTACAGATGAAGAAGATAAGGATGAAGATAAAGCACTTCCACTTGTTAAACCTCCTGGCTTTGTAGGCAAAGAAGCTTTGTTATCGGACACCTGCGAAACAGATAACAAAAACATTTGGAAACAATATATTTGGATCAGCAAGTTATATTTTTCCAGCTGTGTCTTGTTTCAATTACTTTAGATGGTCATAAAAGAGACAGTGTAATTTTCTCACAATTTTAAATATTGTTTTATCAACAAGCAAGCATGATCTTGAGGCAGACAATCAACCATGAGAATGTTGGGCAGACTTCATTCTGAATTGCTTTTTCTGCCTCAAAAGAATGCCAAAAAAGAAGGGGGAAAATGAGAATATGAAAAAAGAATATAAGTCTTGTTTCTGCAGTATAGTAGAAATAAAAATTAAGGCATGACATTGGGGTTTTTCTTTTAAGCTATCGAATTTAGCTAACCATTTTGCAGCACAGAGATGCTTTAGAACTACCATTCCACAGTTATATGAGTATTGTAATTGAAGAAACTATAAAATGAACGTGAAGAACATGCTTTACAATAATAAATTCTAAAATTAATCAATTATCATTCTGTCTTTAGCCTCATCTTTTAAAGGATGTGATATAAATGAAATGGATAAAAGAGTCCACTTTCAGCCAAAAATAAGGTCTGGACATGGGACAAAAAAGGCAATGGTCGCTCTGGTCAATAATATTTGTCTTACTTGACTTCTCCATAGCAATCAATCTTTTTAGATTGCCTATCAAGGTTAAGGGTAAGATATCTAGTTCTACAATGGTTCTAGGATTAAGTGGCTGCAACAGAGTTGGAAGAATAGCAAATCCTGAATAAATTATCACAGTTTTATTAAGATTCCTTATATTCTGTAAGGGAGAAGCATGAAGCTGATGTAGGATTTGATTCAGTCAAGATGCACATGTGATTTTTTTTTATTTTTGCTTCATCTTATTTGGGAGATGGAGGAATTGCTGAAATCAGAAGTTGAAAATCTACAGTAATATTCTCCAATTTAGCACCTTACAGATGTGCTAGGATTCCAATTTCCATGTTCACTGGGAATTCTGGGAACTCTTGTCCCAACAAATTTGGAGAATGTTTGGTTAGTGAAGAATGGAATATAAAAACTAGAATGTATATTAGCTGCTTAATGTTTGTGTTAATTATGCCTCAATGTAATAATAATATTGACAAAATCACCATCAGTCAATTTCAAAAGGGAGCTTCACTTGGAACAGCTTACTTGCTGTGACAATAGCTTTAACACCATCTGTAAGGACCCACCCCACTTTGCATCTTAAGAAGACAGAACTCCTAGAATATTTCTTCCAACAGGCATCTTTATTAAGAGAAAGCTGGATGCAGGCGTTCTAGACAGGACTTGGGCCCAAGCTCTCCCATTCAAGGTTTTAAGGGATCCCCCATTAGCCACACCCCATCACCTCCTTCTCCCAGCGACAATCCCAGGCATTACATTCTCACCCCCTTTTTCTCACTGCCGGGAGGAGACTTCAGAAAGGATTACATGAAAGCTAATGACCCCCATTGTTATTGTTAGTCCTTTTGGTGATATCCACATCCAGTCCCTTTGAAGTAGGCTGAAGGAAGTGAGGGCCATAAAGCCCCTTTGTTCACCCCCTTCCCTTCCTCGTATGACAGAATCCAGAGAAGGCAGAAATGCGGTTTTTCATAGTTGATAACTAGAGATGGAATATATTTGGATTCTGACACCATCAAACAATATCTGCCTATTCAAGATCCTTGGGAAGGACCTGATAGGTGGATAAAAATGCCAAATCCAGTTTAAACATGTGGCTGACTTTGTGACCATCCATGATAATAATAATTGAAAGCTTCTGGAAAAAGAAATTCACTGTTATGTCAATTGTGATTGGAGCTCTCAAAGTGATACCTACAGGATTTCTCAAAATCTGAACATATTGAATTTATCAGACCTGAACATCTTAATTTCCCAACAAAACAAAACCCCATCTTGGTTGAAACTGCCTATATTTTAGACGCTAACTTAATAGCGTTTAAATCCTTGTTTCAAACTTAATTAAGTTTCCACCAATCTTAGACAGTGAATCTAACAGTAGAATGCCCATACATTATATTGTGCTGTGGTGTCTGTGCTATGCTATACTATCATATATTATTATTATAATTATCATAATATAATACATTTTATTATATATATATGTATGTATGTATGTATGTACTGTATGTGTGTGTGTGTGTGTGTATCAAAATCCAGTCACTAACAAACATTTAGATATATAGTATGACAAGCACAGATATAGCAATGAATTTGGCCTAGAGAGATGTGCCACAGTAGAAATAAGTTGGGGGAAAATCATAATCAATAATGGAATTGAAATGTTGAATGGCTAACCCATCAGGAGCCATCAGGATTAAGCCTATATTTTACAGCTGGATAACATCAAACGTGAACAAGTAAAAATATGATTAGTACAGAACACATCCAAAGAGTATGAAGAGTGCTAAAGATAAAATTAAATGGTGGCAACACCACCAAAAACATCAATATCTGGGCCAGGCCTGTAATATGATATTGTACTTTAATTATTAACTGGACACAAGGTGAACTGGACTGTTTGGATCATAAAACAAGAAAGCTGATGACTATTCACTATGCATTACATCCCCATAGTGATATTGATAGATTATACCTGCCCATAGAAATGAAGGCAGAAGTTCACTTTGAGTAAAACTAATTGTTGAAGAAGAAAAGCATGAACTGGCAGATTATGTAAAAAAGTCAACAACTGAAATGTTAAAAATTGGAAGTTTGTACATGTACATGATTTTTTAAATATCATAATTATGTAATCAAAGCATGAATAAAATGCAGGAAAGGAAAAGGATTACATGGTCAATTTCTACAAAAGATTGGGGGGGGGGAAATGGATAAAGATAAAACTTGACAATTGCTTATAATTGGAACATTAAGAAACAAGGCATGATTTTGGTTGTGCAAGAGCAAGATATTCAAATAAATATAATCAAGGCTAGGATTGAAAAAATTATCAAATGATAAAGTACAGGTAGTCCTTGAGTTACGAGTGTAATGGAGCCTGCCCATTCCACTCGTAACTCGAAAACTCGGAGTGAATCTTGTACCTCGAACAAGATCACTCCCTTGCTTGTTAAAACGCAGGTGGCTCGTTAAGTGCACATGAGGTATCTCAGGGTGGGGAAGGCCATAGAGGGCCTAGTGATGGAATAGGCCCCCAAGGCCTCCCCGACCCACTACGATAACTCATGTTTACCCCTTCCTTCCTGCCACGCCAGACTCACCTTCAAAAGATCCGTCTCCTCTTTGCCACAGTTCCTGCTGCCGCCTGGATCTGAGGCTGGGAGATACTTCCGCGGCCAGAGGCCTTCTCCAGGCTGCTGACACCCAGACATGGGCTGCTGGCCACAGAAGCGTCCCCCAGTCTCAGATCCGGATGGCAGCGGCCTGTGATGTCACGGCCCGGCCTCCGTAGGCACGCGAAAGCATCCCCCAGCTTCGGTTCTGTTCTCTGTTGCAAAGAACAGAGGCCTAAAGTACCATGAGATCATGCAAGATCAGTATTGTGAGATCTCACCCATCTGATTTCGCGTGATCTTGCATTACTTTAAGTCTCCATTCTCTGCGAACTCACCAAAGGCCTGGAGCAGCCAAGAAAGGGAAGGATCTCGAGCTTCACAGAGTGTGTATTGAAGGCCTAGGGAGACCTGGGGCAGGGGTGGGGAGGGAGGGAATAACCAGGGTAAATGTTGCAGAGCCTCTGCAATCGCCCGTAAGGGCGAACGACTGCCATGGTGTTGCAATATTCGTAATTTCGGGACTTGCTCGTAAGCACTAGGGGGCGCTTATTGTATAACTTCGAACGAGTGTTAAGTGAACGCTTGTAGCTCAGGGATTACCTGTACAGATTGTGCAAAGAAGCAGAAGAAACAGTAGATCATAGCTGTTGCAAGAAGATCATGCAAACTGATTATAAAGAACGATAACACAATCATCAAAACGATTTACTGGAACATCTGTAAAAATTATCCTGTACTAGTAATGAAAAATTGATGGGAATATGTAGTTGAAAAAGTAGTAAAAACTGAGCAGGTTAAACCATTTTGGGATTTCCAAATAAAGACCTATAAAGTCTCATAACACAACAGATATAAAAGTGGCTGAAAAGAAGAAAGTGTGGATAATTGATGTAGAAATAGCAGAGAATAGAAAAATAGAAGGACTTGGAGAACATCACAAAGTGTAAAGATCTGAAAACTGAAATTGAAAAATTACAGCATAAATTGGCCATGGTGGTCCCAGTGGATACTGGGATGGCACTTAGAAAATTCACAATTTTCATCTGTCAGTTACAAAAGCCCAGAGTGCTTGGATTTGCACAAATACTATGCTAATACATTAAGACATCCTAGGTTCTTGAGAAGAACCTAATGCATATGAAGGCCAACATCACTGAAGAACTGGCAACTGTCATTTCACATTTTTGTCTATAAAATAATAATATAATGCTACATTAAGAACCATAGGTACCACCCTTGTTGAAAGTTACATATAACTTAAGTAACTTACAAGTGAAATTGTAACAGTCTTTGCTTTCTTTAATGGCTCAACTACTTTATGTGGTAGGGAAACTTGTTCTTCTTTCTCATCTTCAGGACTTGGTGAATCAAAAAAATCAGGACTAGAAAGTGAAGACTGTGGAAATAACATAATATATTCTTTTATTTTCAAGTATTCAAAACATGCACACTCTATAACATTTCAGTATTGCTGTAATTAATCTGAAAACAAAAATAATTGTTTGTTGTAAATGTAACTGTTGTAATTAATCTGAAAACAAAAATAATCCTCTGTTAGTTACACCTCACGTAATGTCTCATTAGCTGCATGCTTACTAACATTGACTGTGGCAAGATACTGATGTGGCCTTCCAACTATGAACTGCTTCCATCAAATCACTACCAAACTACTGAAAGTAAATCCCATCCAGTACAGGTAGTCCTCAACGTATGACCACAATTGAACCCAAAATTTCTGTTGCTAAACAGTTAATATAGTGAGTTTTGTTTCATTTTATGACCTTTCTTGCCACAGTTGTTAAGTGAATCACTGCAGTTGTTAAGTTAATAACATGGATGTTAAATGAATCTGCCTACCCCATTGACTTTGCTTGTCAAAAGGTCATAAAATGTAATCTCAGACCCTAGGACCAGGGCTTTTTTTTTGTCATAGAACGCCCAGAACAGAGTTCCGGCACCTTTTTTGGATGGAACTTTGTAGGGTAGGCAAAGCGGGTTGTATGACCTGTGTGAGTTCCGGCACCTTTCCCCCCCCCCCCAAAAGCACTGCCTAGGACAGGGGTAGGCAACCTTGGCTCTTTTATGACTCATGGACTTCAACTCCCAGAATTCCTGAGTCAGCATAGCTGACTCAGGAATTCTAGGAGTTGAAGTCCATGAGTCATAAAAGAGCCAAGGTTGCCTACCCCTGGCCTAGGACACTGCAACTGTCATAAATATGAACTAGTTGCCAAGCATCTGAATTTTGATCATGTGACCATGGGGATGTTGGAATAGTCATAAGTGTGAAAAAATGGTTATAAGTCACTATTTTCAATGCTGTTGTAACTGAACCATCACTAAATGAACTGTTGTAAGTTGAGGACTACCTGTAGTCCAATATCTTCTGTCATCGCCATTTGATCTTATAGGTTTTGATTTAAGTGAAGTATAAGTTTGGATATTTCATAGACTTGTATTGCCTATATGAAAATAAATACCACTTTATTGATTTCTGGGCACTGATCACCTGTGTAGATCAAATACTATTTATCATACTTGGATTTCCAAAAGAAGGAACATATGATGTGAAGCATAGAAGCTTTTGTCAGATTTGTCTTTATCAATTTATGTTTGGTATGTATGATTACCATTTATTTTTTAAATTAGCAAAAAATAGTGACAAAATAAGGAAAGGTCCTTTTTTTACTCTAGCCTTTCCTGTATGCATATCTATGGTTTCACCATTATTTTTTTTAAACTGCATGTTGTTTTATACTACTTTATGCTATTTTAAAATCTCATAGTTCTTCTAACATTTTGTGCTATGTAAACTGCTTCAAGAGAGATATGGGAAATAATATACAAATATAATTACTGTAGTTAATTAAAATAGAAACAAGTAGAAGATATATGATTTTGAATAGTGGGAAAAGGTAACGGGGGGGAAAAGAATATTTAAGTACACTGATGCAAAATAAGGAGATAAATGATTAAACTCTTAACAGTGTGAAAAAACTTTCACTGAATATGCTATGCTTTTGTTGAATGTTATCCTACACATGACTCTCAAGAAGTATATCTTACTGAGTTGCTTCAAGGTAACATGCATGATTTAAAATTGCTTAAGTAAAATAAGAAGCCTGAAGAAGAAGTAAAATAAGTGGTATAAATATAGAAATATCTTTGTATAAGTGATACCATTTTATTGAAGTACAGCTGCCAATTGTCCATTTATGCTGAAAATACAGAGCATTGGATAGGCAACTTGTATCTCAGAATCCCATAGACCAGGGCTTTTCAACCTTTTCACCCACTGTACCACTTTTAGGATATGGCAATATTCGAGCACCAGCGGTCGCCTAGCAAGGTGTCAATAACTTGATGACCAAATTAAAAAAAAAAGGAAAAAAGTGATAAAGTACAGGTAGTCCTCGACTTACAACAGTTTGCTTAGTGACTGTTCGAAGTTACAACGGCACTGAAAAAGTGACATGACCATTTTACACACTTATGACCATTTCAGCATCCCCAAGATCATGTGTTTTACATTCAGATAATTGACAACTGATTCATATTTATGATGGTCACAGTGTCCTAGGGTCATGTGATCCCCTTTTGCAACCTTTTGACAAGCAAAGTCAATGCGGAAACCAGATTCACTTAACAACCATGTTACTAATTTAACAACTGCAGTGATTCACTTAACAAATGTGACAAGAAAAGTCGTAAAATGGAGCAAAACTCATTTAACAAATTTCTCACCCTTTTTCCTTTTATATCCTCTCCTCCCCCCTCCTCCTTTTATATCGGGGTGTCAAACTTGATTTCATTGAAGGCCGCATCAGCATTGTGGTTACCATCGGGGGGCCAGGGAGGATGTGGTCTGTGGGCTGGGCATGGCTATGGGGGGGATCCAGGGGTCTTCGGTGGGGATGGGTGGGACTGAGATGGGCGCTGGGGCATGGTCCACCAGAGGAGTCTCGCTATCCCTCTTGGGCCATGCGGGGGACTCCCAGACAGTGGCGTGGGCTGCCCAGAGCCCTGGGCAGTGGAGGACAAACACCCAGCCCTTAAGTTCCTGGGGATACCAGGACCCCGCAGCCCAGCCCAGTCCAGTCTTACTTCCCCGAGGGGGCATCCAGTTGCGCTTACCTCCTCATTAAGGCTGTTGTGCTCACTCTCCTTGCCAGGCTGCTCATGGTGGGTGGAGGAGGACAAAGTGCATGGGTCAGAGGGAGGCCCACTGTCTCTCCATGCGAGGAGACCCAGCTTTGTAACTAAAGCATCCTTGGCAATAGGATGGGAGACCATCAGGATAGGCCAGGAGGAGGGGCCAAGGAGATGGCGAAAGGGCAGCAGTGCTGCTGGTGGCCAAGTGCTAAAGCAGGACTTCTCTCAGACCCTTCCTCCCTCCCTCCTTCCTTCCTTCACTGCCTCCCTCCTTCTCATTCCCATCTCCTTTCTTCCTTCCTTCCTCCCTCCCTCTCCAGGAAGGGACAAAGGGAGGGGAGAGGTTGCCAAAGGTTGCTTGAAAGGCCACTGTAAATTCCTGGACAAGAGCTGCACAGCCTTAAGAGCAGAGTAGCAGGAAGATATTTGCAATGAGGGAGGAAGAAAAACAGGCAAGAAACACAGCTGGGGCAGTGTTACCCTCCGCAAGGAATGAGGAAAAGCACCATCCCTTGGAGGCCCTCGCCCATTTCACATACCCGGCTCTGTGGCCTATGGGGGAGGGGACACCATGAGTGGAATGAGAGTCCACATTACCTGTGCGATGCCACCCAGCCCCCAACCTTCCCAGTTTCGGCAGGTAGTGTCATGCTTCCGTCGAAGCCTGAATCTGCTGAGGAAAATGAGCTGGAACTGGAGCCTATGGAAGTCGAGGTAGATCTGTCTGTGGCTTCAGAGGAATGTGGGGAAGAGCAGGCTGAGGAAGGCCAGGGCCTTTCAGGACTGGGACAGGATGAATATGAGAGACAGAGCTCAGGCGATGAGCAAGGGCCACCCCCTCCTAATCCTAGAACACGGAGAGTGGAGAGAAGGAGGGAACAATGCAGGCAGGCTCAACTACTCAGAAGGAGAGTGCCCAGCCCCTCTCCACAAGGCACACCTGGAGACTGAGACTTAAGGAGACGCTGTGGGGAAGGGCATTTGTCGGGAACAAGCACTGAATGCTTGGATGTTTGTGTGCCATTGCTGATCTTGGAAACAACTCTTTGATCTCTTGTTCTGTGTTGTGATTTCTGCTTGGAAACCCTGAAACTCTGACCATTGGACTGGCTGACCAACTTGATTTGGTGTTCAAAGACCTCAGATTGAATTTTGGCTTCTCTTCTGAAACTGCTCAGACAAGCTTGTATTTCCACAGACTCGTTAGATTTTGGATGTATGTTTCTTTCCTTGTTATCTACGTGGCCTTGAGTAAATTACTCTTCTAATCTAACTGTGTGAGTTGAAACCTGAAGGAGGACGGCTTGTTTCATACACACATTTTCCCTGTCTAAAGAGTTAAAAACGTATGAAACTACTTGCAGCCAGAGGCTGCTGAAGGTGTGTGTGTCTTACTTTGTTCTGGGGCTTGCCAGAAATGTGGGAGCATTTGGGGAAAATTTGGAGCAATTAAAGCGCGGTTTGAATTGCCAGCTGACTGCATTGCCTCTGCGCCATGCCCTGGGTCATCTGAAGTAGTGGCATGCTCTCCTCACAGCACGCTGGGCCAGGCGAGGTGAACCTAGCGAGAGGTTGAATCTGCCTGGCCTGGGCCGAGGCAGCAGGGGCCGGTACCTCACTGTTTTTAGAGTGGCCCAGCGGGCCACTTTGCGGGCCGGATGTCGCCCATGGGCCTTGTGTTTGACATTGTATTATATCCTCTCCTCTCTCCCTCCCTCCTCCTCCTTTTCTCTTTGGTGCAGGTCCAACTGACTCCTCTTCCCAAGGCTGTTTTTTCCCCTCCCTCTTCCATCAAAACCTCCTCCTTTTATAACCTCTCCTCTCCCCCCTCTTCCTTTTTTCTTCTAGGTGTGCCGGAAGTGCTGATCAGCATGTAGCCACACATGTCAATCCTGCCGAGCCCTGCAGCTCCAGCTGACTCTTGCTCAGGCTTGTGTGGCGCTGCCGCCACTTCAGCTTATTCCCCTCCTAGGATGGTTGCGTGCCACCGGTTGAAAAGCCCTGCCTTAGACCATGATTATTGAAAACTAACAACATGATTTCTTGGCAGTTTTGAGATGGATAATAGATGAAAATTAGTCTAATCCCTACAAGTGGTCCTTGGTTTATGTCCATTCATTCAGTGATGGTACTGAAAGAGGGGGATTTATGACCCACAGCATCCTTATGGTCATGTGATTGTGATCCAGGTCTTCGGAACTTAGCTCACAATTACAGTGTCACAGCAAACCATAGTCATTTAATTGTAATTTCCAACATTCCTGCTGGCATCCCACAAGTAAAATCATTGGGGAAACTGTTAGGAAGATAGATGTTGCAGTCATGTCAGTTCTCCATTTAATGCCTATATGGTCCTCATTTAACAATAGCAGACAAAAATGCTAGAACTGCAGTCACTAAGTGCCTCAGTCATGTGATGTCATGCTGCATTCATGCTGCATTCTGGTCCCAATTATCCTTGTAAACTGAGGACTATTTGTATTATGAATAAAAAACTAATTAAGAATGCCTTAAAGGAAGTTAAAATAAGCAGATGTTACTTACAGATGTAAATGACTGTGATGGAGGCCTTCTGCCAGTAGCTTTTGGTCTTGTAGTAGTTGGATGGCTGAGCTTCTCTGCAACTGGTACTATGGAATCAAACCCTTCCAAATCTTAAAAAAACATGGAAGAGAGGCAAATATATTAATATTACAAATACTATGATGAAACTTTTAAAATTTAATTTCCATATTATTTTACATTACTTTGATATTATCAAATTGAGACATAGGGCGGCATCTGTAAGTATTTATTTACTTTAAAGAAAATATTTCTGTCAGGTCTTTAGTTAATGCTATACATCAGACACCTGAAAACCATTAGATAATAAAGTAGTCGAAAACTAATTTAAATACAGGTAGTCCTTGACTTACAACCATTCGTTTACTGACCGTTCAAAGTTACAACAACATTGAAAAAAGTGACTTATGACCGTTTTTCACTTTTACAACCGTTACAGCATCCCCATGGTCACATGATCAAAATTTGGATGCTTGGCAACTGATTCTTATTTATTTATTTATTTA